GGGCACTTGGTTTTGCTGACCCGATTAGAGAAATGGCCCCTGGAAACAGGAGATACAGGTTCCAACCTACTCTGGCTGGGGTGGGGAATGGGGATCTAAAACTTGGATCTCCCACCTCCTGGGCAAGTGCTCTCACCACTCAGTTATTGGGCAAAAAAGGTAAGAAGACCTCCCTGAGCAGAATGGGATTGCCACATGTTCCAGAGCAGAATGGGATTGCCACATAACATAAACTGCCAGAGCAGATCTTTTTCTGAACATGCCCAGAAGAACAAACCAAGTTGCACCTGGGGCAATAAGATCTAGAATCTAAGTGGCCTAAGATGATACTTATGTGGCTAACTAATGGCATAAGTGCTACTTGGCTATCTAAAATGAGGAGTTTCATTTGGATCCATGCATATATTTATGCCTTTGTAAGAAAGGGGTTTATGCCACTTTGAAAGCAAACTGAACTACCTCACACTTAGTAGACAGCAAGAGGATCCATGTAGGCCTTGATATGGAGCAGCTAGTGTGTTGTAAATTTATACAGTATAGTTTCTGGTGCCTTTTGACATGTAAAGCAGTTTCATATTGAAAATAAGAGTCAGAATATTCCTTTGTTATCATGAAAATATGGGGTTGGTTTTGCTCAGTTTAGAAGCAATAGCTACAGCAGTCAGCTGCCATAATTGTCGGTGGGTTTCCAACTGTGTTTAATAGGAGTCCGTAGCATGTCCATAAGACTGTAACTAGAAAAGAAGTCTGCCAGCAGAATGTAGAAAGTCTAGAAGAATTGTCATGACTTGTGTGAACTTTCAGTATTCTCCGTGCAAATATGGCTGTCCAGCAATCCCATTCTGCCTCAGCCATGCCAAGGAGCTGTTCTCAGCTTGGCAGAAAACTCTCAGGGCTGTGATGAGAAGTCAACTTTAGGAGTGTAACAACCATTATAAAAAGTATGTGTGTGTGTGTATGTGTGTAACAAAATAAAACCTATATTGAAAGAAACACATTGCCTAAATATAGGCAGCATGTTATCACTTTATAAATATTATATGTATGAGCAGGTTATAGTATAGGAAAGGGAAAAGGCTTAATATTGGTACATAAATGTCAAGATAGGATTCACATAATTCCTATTACAAGTGTTCAGTCACAGTTTGCATACATTGTTCTTCCATGTGGAAAGGTATAAAATATAATAAAGAATATGTATGTATCTCATACTGCTATAAAAGAAAGGGGTGAATGTATTTTGCTGATGTGAGAGGCAAGGATGTGTTTGGGTGGTCTCTTTTATTGGACCAACTATGTATTTAGGGTAACGTTAGACAAGCTTTTGAATGCAAGATATCCTTCCTTTAGTCTGCATGTGACTGAACACTTGTTACTGGACTTCTGTGAATTCTGTCTTGACTGATGTTACAAATATTAAGCTTTTTTACCCTTGCTATGCTATAACCTGCTCACACATGCTATATTTATAAAATGATAACATGCTGTCTCTATTTAGGCAACATGTTTCTTTCAACATAGGTTTTATTTTGTTACATACATGAAAATATGGAGTTATTCATGCATGTAGTTTAGAAGCAATAGCTACAGAAGTCAACTGCCATAATTATCAGAGGGTTTCCAGGTCTGAGGAAGAATGTCTGAAAGCTTGTCTAATTTTATCCTAACAACATAATTGGTTCATCAAAAGCTATCACTCTAAGGAATTCTGGCCTCACAGAATTTCTGGAACCATCATGACTACATCGCTCTTACATGAACTTTTTCTGAAATGTATATGTTTCAGACCTGTTCTTCTGTCACCCCGTTCCTTGGAGTGTCATATATGCCTATTCAAAGTAGGTGTAAACTACTACTAAATCAGAATGGTGTCAAAGATCCCACAGGGTGCCAACACAGAGAATCAGGCCTACTACTTACATTGGTCTCCGTTACATTGCAAAATGCATTCCTCTTCCAGTTTACTTCAGTACATTGATGAACATTTGTTCAAGCATATGGTCATTCCCAGTGTTGTCTTTTGTCAAACAGCATCTTAGTGCAGAAGCTTTATTAAAAACACGAGTTGCTTCAATAACTAACAAAGCTGAAAACAAATGTACAGAAGAACACCTGCAGGCCCATAATAAGGAATTTTTTTCTTTTTTTTGGTTCTGAAAATCATCCTTTGCTTTGTCTGGGATATGACCTAAGACCCGCACATTCAGTTGTGAAGATATCACTAATGATGTGCTAGGTCTCAAGGATGTATCAGAGTGCTGCAGCTAACACCCGATAACACTGCTCACTCCAGTGCTGGCACACTTTGGCTGCTGAGTGCAAAAATCTCTCCTGAAAGAGATCCTCAGCCAAAAGCATGGACCTGCATTTACTTGCAGGACTGTGCAGTGGGTAACATAAAAAGCAAACCTCACCTGTGCTGCTCTTTTAACAGAGACTGAACAATATTTGATGTTTTGTGCAATCCATTTTCCCACTGTACAAGATTTTGCTGATTTTTCCTGAATATTTTCCTTATAAATTTAACCTTTTATTAGTTTATAAACATTTCAGCTTCTCCATTGTAAAGCTTTTTAAAAAGGCAAAAAGCAAAAAAACCCAACAAAACCTTCTTTCCCGCTTTTTATTTATTGGAAAGAAGCTAAAGCAAAACCCTTACATTTAATACATCATTTCAAGCAACAGCCATTATAATTAAGTTCATTACCCTGAGATTATCTTGTCTAAAATGTACATACATAGAATAAATTTGTGCATTCAATGTATTGTAATTTTCATAGTTGAGAATAAATATGCTAAGAGTACATGAATTTGACAGTGAAATGTTGCCTGTCTATGCTTTCAGGGTTGGTACAAAAACAACTCTCTCTTGTTTCATCTCTGTTTGCAGGATGTAGTGGGCTTCTGAGAAAGAAAACCAGTTTATTGTTTGCAGAGTAAAATGGATAGCTAACATCTGGCCCTAAGTCAGGGAGACTAATACACTGCACTCTTTCTTTGTTCAGCTGGCATTGTGCTTAAACTGCCTGCTGTAATAAGGATGTTTGTAGTTGTCTTCTCTGTGGATAGAAGCTTGGGCAGTAATCTTGTGACCTGAAGAATTCTAACAGGACCCTAGTTCTGTGAGTTTGTTTTACAAAATGAGTAGCAATATATTGCCTTAGTCTGCTCCTCACAGGACTCACTCTTAAAATTCCCCCCACCCAGCCCTTTGTTCATTTACTACTTTCTTTGCAAATTCATATAATTTAAGGCCAGAAGGGCCTTATTTTATATTTGACCCAATCGCATCTGAATTAACCCTAATGGTGTTTGCGGTAAACTATATCTTCCAGAGAGGCATCCAATTTTGCCAAGCAATCCAGATTACTGCCCACTCTTCACTGTTGGAAATCATTTCATCAATCTTTGTGCTATCTACAAATTTTTGCAGCAGCAATTTCATATTTACTTCCAGGTCACAGGTGAAGATGCTGAATACTATTGGGCCTCATGCAGAACTTTTCTAGAAACAATACAATTTGACAATGGCTCTCCACTGACAACTGTTTTGAGCACTGTCAGGAAGTGTGCATTACTGATCCTGTATAATGCTCTATTTGTAATCAGAATGTCGAGCATAACTAAGTCAAATGTTTCACAAAAAGTGGAAAGCTGTTATATCTATGAAGTTACGATCAAACCTGTAATCTCAAAATTACAATCTGGTTTCTTTGATAAAGACCTTTTTTTCATTGAACCATGTTCACTGCATTAATTATGAGGATTATGACGATTCCCAAACTCATTGAAAGACTCATTTGAACCTTTGCCCAAAACGCAGTTCAGCTGACCCAAATGAAATCTATATAGTGGTTGAGTTTCACTTGGATTTTTTACCACATTTTATTCACCTTTTACATGTCCTCATTTCAACTGGAAGAGAAAGCATCAAAAAATATGGTGTTCTTCTGTAGTTTATGCTCAGACAAAAATGGAATGAAATGCTCAGGAAATCATGTACAGCTCTGTTAATTTCCACCTACAGGATGGCATCCAACTGCATAGTGATGAGGTGAGACAAACTAAGAAAATTGTAGTGAAGGGATGCTGCAGAATAATGCTTATTTTACAAAACGTGCTGTGATATCTTCAGTGTTCACTCAAAGCAAACAGAAACTTAGTTATTAAGGTTTCCTCCAAATAGTCTATCAATACACACAAACTACATGCTACTTAATTTATCTACTTTGGATGTATGAAGGACTGAATTGAACTGACTTGATTTTGGACTCCAAGAAGTCCTGATGCTTCATTCCTGGTACCATAAGCCCTGACTTTTATTTTTGCTGGGTGGTGGGGCCCTAAGACGATGGACATGTGGAAAGTTTTATGCATTTCAGGTAACAGCCCTCTTCCTGAGGGTGGGGGGCAGGGCCCTGGGGCCCCCATGTACTGGGAATGTTTGCCTGGGACTAAAATTAAGTCTTATAATATGCCTCATGTCTATGTCTTGTATTAAAAATATAAAGAGCCGGTGTAGTTTCCTAAATAGTTGTAGAAAATGCCTAGGGCTTTTTGTATGTTTAAATAACTGTATCTACTTAGAACAGAATATGCTCTCAGTGTTATATTGGAGTTAATTTGGAGCAATTCCAGTTACATTAATACAGTAATATTGTATTTATGCTGCTGCAAATGAAATTAGAATCCATCACAATGTTAATAAAACATGTAGCTGAGTTAAAAATACAAGAGTAGGGTCATATATGGCCCTCTTCAATATTATATTACTTTATGGCAAATGAGTTGTGCCTAAGTAGGGAACTGATAAAGATCTCTACATCAGTGATTTTGTTTGTTATAGTTATGTATACTTTTCCACTTGAAGTCGCATTTCAAAATAGCGTAGAAGTGGTTTCCTATACAAATCTGTAATGAAATAATCAGTTGGGGACATATTCTTCATGCACCATGAAGAACATGTGCCCTTGACTTAGTTTGCTTTCATCCTCTTACAGAACTCAGAAGCTGTACTGGGATCAGCATCCCACCAACCTCCAATTCATCATCCAAGCAAACATATGAAGCCCCAAGAAGAAACTGAGCAAATATTTCCTAAGGTAAGTGAGAAAACCACAGCCGTCACTGCATCCATTTAGCTGAATTTCTCAGCTTGCTTGTTCATCAAACCAAGGCTGAATATTGGGGATAAAGGCCAAATTCATCCCCAGTATGATTCCCTTTAATAGAATCGCACCAGGTATAACTTTTGGCTATTAGCACTCATGAGTCAGAAGGTTCCTATTCCTAGCTTTAAAGCCCTCAGGAGCTGTGATTTTTTTGCTATGACAAATCATACGGACCAGACTGCAAGGTAATTCCAACTTCTGTCTGCTCCTCCTAACAGAAATGCACAAATGGGCACTTGTTTTTCTTCTTCTTTCTGCTATAACTGAATGATCACCAACATTTTACCTGATTGATGTGGTTTTTGGCTAGTTGTGTGTGTGTTTAATGAAAACGTCTCCAAATTGTTCAAAGTAGGGTTTCTAGCTTCAATTACGCTCTGTTTGTATATGCATGGCATGCAACAAGGAAGTCCGCTTCTGGCCTTGTGTTTACCATCAGCACTACTAATTATTTCAGATACACGGCAGCAAGGTCTTGCCCAGGCTCGATAGAGAAAAAATGAACTTCACTTAGTGACATTAAAATGAACACGTGCCTGTTATTTCTGCTGATGGAGACAAGTAGTACGTAGGTTGCTTGTTTTCCAGTGTTGCATTATACTGAAATTCATCTTTTCTTTCCACCTGGACAGTCAAGCTCATGTTTGTGCTTTCATAGCATCCTGTTTTGACTTGTCTATCAGCCTCAGATCCTCTGGATGCACACATGTTTCGGTCCAGGGCTGGCCAACTTGTGGCCTACAGGCTGGGAATGGTTAATTTGCAGCCTCCGGGCTTACATCCAGCCGCCACTCTCCCTATTGCTATGGCTGTATCAGCAGACTAGGGCTTAGGACTCCCCCTCCCTCCTGTGGATTTTAATTCCTGCCCCTGCCCCTGCTCCTGGAGGTGTGGCACAATGGAGTGGCAGAGTCTGCACCAGGGTGGAGCAGAGGTGAGTGAGTTCTCCAGCCACTTGGACAGCCCTGCTTTAGTCCATACAAAGTACAGTTGACAGAGTAGTTTCTTTGCCTGTTGCTTTGATCAAGCAGTTCTCTTGGAGTCTTTCCACCGGTTCCACTGAATGGTATCACAATGCATTTAAACTGGTTTTCTTCATCTTCAAAGCTGTAGTCAAGTTAGCTCTTTATTGTCCTTTGTTAGAATGTCTCACTTTGCCAGTAGGTTCACTTATTTGTCAGCTTCCTCCGCAGTTGCCTTTTTCAGTGATGTTACTAAGGTGAGTTGAACAGGGCAACTGCCCTGGGTACTGGCTTGGGAGGTAGGAAGAAGGAGGGAAAGGGAGAGCAAAAAAAAGACAGATGCTGCCCAGGACACCCAGCAGCATCCCTACACTATTGTACTTCATGCCTCCATCCATGTAGTTCTCCCTTCCCTGAGCTCATACACAGAGCCCTGTCCATGATTTTAGCTCCTCCTAAAATTCCTCTTCTGCAAGACTGCTTAAGGCAGTGTTTTTCAAAGTTCTTAGCCTCAAGGTCCTCTCCATAACACTTTTGAATTTTGCAGATCCCCAGTTCAGAATCACTGAGCTACAATCTAAATTCAGAAAAAATATGGAGGGGGTGCTTAGAGGCTAAAAAAAAGTAAGAACACTGCTCTAGCTGGTACCAGGTGAGGGCTGCCGGAACACATCCGAACCCTGCCATGTCTTACTCTTTCCATTGTCAGCCCCTTCCCCATCCCTGATATGTACCTGAGGGAGCAAGGGTGGCCCTGCCACTAATACTGCTGCTGGGGGGTGGACCCCTTACCTGTGACCACCCCCAGAGCCCCTCTCACTGGTTCTGGGAGCAGGGGAAGAGAGGAGGGGTTGAGCCAGGCTGCAATGCATGGCTCTGGCCCCATATCTGCCCACCTGCCCACAGCAGAGCAAACTGCTGGAAGTGTGGGGGCAGCCTTTGATCCTTCAAGCAGCTCCATGTAGCAGACTCCAGTGCCAAACAAGTACCCCATTTTACTAATTTCTAGATGAGCACAGGGCTCTGCCCACCAGAAATACTGGGTGCACCAGGGCCTAAGCATTAAGATGAATGGTTCTGTTGGGTATATTTAACTCAAGACAGAGAAAATAAAGAAAGTTTCTGCTAAATTGCTATGGGTGAATTGTCTTTACATTCTAGCATGTAGGACAAATGGCCCTGAAAGGACTGAAATCTGTGGCATTGCAGAAACCAAATTTATATTTGTTTGTCCAGAAGAAATTGTATTCATCATCGTGATAAGACATAGCCTTTCCCTGTAAAGATTAATGGCAGTTCCAGTGGCCTGGTTAGTTTAGGTCTATCATTTGTTGAATTGAAAACTACCCAGAAGTGCCAAAAGTGGCGTTTACATGGTTGGATAACTGCCACTGAAACCCATGAAGTAAAATAGGATTCTGCCCTTTGCAATCTGTCCCATATAGACAGAGTTGAAACTTTTTAGCTGGCCCATTTTATAATAGAATAATAACTGCATTAAATAAATATTAGAAAATGAGAGAATTGGCAGAAATGGAATCTGATATTCTGTTGCAAAGATCCTTTTGTATAAATATGAATGTTTGGCTATGAAATTGTCCTATAGGACTTAACAGGGATGAAAACCAATGTGCTTTTTTTAGAAACTGCTCTGAGAAACTATAGCATTTGAGAGACCTGAGCTCCCTACAATAGAATTTCTCAGTGGAATGAAGAATCATCCTTCTAGGCCCTGGTGTTTAACCTTCCAGCCCCAGGGGCTGGCTGACTAGCATGGGGCCAGTCCACAGGCCAGATCCTGCAAGCAGGGTCAGTCCACAGGCCTGATCCAGCATGGGGTCAGCATGCAAGCTCGGTCTGCAAGTGCAATCCATGCACCAGCCAGGCTCTACAAATGGGGCTGTGTCATCTGGCCTGCAAAGATCCCCCTCAGTCCAGAATGGTGGCAGTGTTAATTGCTGTGGCTCCGAAAGCTACAGCAATTAACAGTGCCACCACTCGCCTGTTGAGCACTGCTGTTCTAAGGGACTCTACATAGCATTTAGGAATTCTGTTAAATGGTTCTCATTTTGGTTGGCCTATTTTATGCATTTTTTGTGGCCTCCCTTATGATACCTTATTAGATTTCATAGACATTCAGGCTGGAAGGGACCCTGAAAGATCATCAAGTCCAGCCCCCTGCCCCAGGGACAGGAAGTCAGCAGGGATCATAGGATCCCAGCAAGATAAACATCCAGATGTGTCTTGAAGGTGTTCAAAGTGGGTGCTTGAACCACCTCCAGTGGCAATCTATTCCAAACCTTGGGGGCTCGGACAGTAAAGAAGTTCTTCCTTATGTCCAGCCTGAATCAATCGCGGCAGAGTTTGTGACCATTCGATCTTGTCATCCCTTGGGGGGCTCTGGTGAATAGACGTTCCCCCAGATCCTGGTGAACATCCCTGAGAAACTTATAGGTGGCCACCAGATCACCCCTGAACCTGCGCTTTTCCAGGATGAAGAGTCCCGTGGCTCTCAGCCTCTTGTGGTAAGGTCTGTTTTCCTGACCTCTGATCATGCACGTGGCTCTCCTCTGCACCCTCTCAAGCTTCTCCACATCCTTTTTGAATTGTGGAGCCCAAAACTGGATGCAGTACTCCAGCTGCGGCCTCACCAAGGCCAAGTACAATGGGAGAATGACATCTCAGGATTTGCTCGAGAAGCATCTATGGATGCAAGCCACTGTTTTGCTCACTTTACTAGTTGCAGCATCACAATGAAGGCTCATGTTCATCTTGTGGTCAATCATGACCCCCAAGTCCCTTTCATTTGTAGTGCTAACCAGCGTAGCACTACCAAGCA